TTTTAGGGAAGGGTCTACAGGGTGCTCAGGGTCTCACGACTAGATAGGACTTGTAGTGATTCTCCGGTTTACAGCCTCCCAAAAGCTGGGACTACAGGTGTGCACCACCATGCCCAGTCTCAATTGTCATCTTAAGGTGCCCCAGGGGCAGGGCCAGCACAGCAGGCCTGGGAATCGAACCCCTGGCTCCTGTGCCTGCTTGCAGGCATTTTAATCCGCTGAGCTATTTGGCTGGCCCTTATAAATTTCTAATGACCTGTTTCTCCTAAAATTTTAAGCCTATGAAGACTTTTCTTTCTTTTTTTTTTTTTTTTTTTTAATGGGAGGCACTGTAAAAGTAAAATTCTTTAAGAAGAATCAGTGGAAGAATTTAAATTTGGCACCATGGTCAAAACTCTTACAGCTTTAAAAACAATGTTATCTAAAGCTTACCAACAAAGAAGTCTTGCAAAATAGCAGATATCTTGCTCTGGACATTTGAGGTGAAAATGAAGATAATTTTCACGTAAGCCCCTAGAGCAGGAGTGGTGAACCTGTGGTACTTGTGCCACAGCAATCTGTTCCTATCGTTGAAAGCTCTGAAAGGTTCACTTTCACTGCAGAGGCAGTTGAGAAAATCAAGTGTGAAGAAGAAAAGGAGAAAAATGGAAATATAAGTCAACATTATGCAGACATATATATATTTTTTAGCATTTTTAACCTGTTGGGTCTTTTAGGCTGGCTTTGCTTTTTATTAGATATGTATAGTTTGGTTAATTAACTAGTGATCTAGCTCTGTATTTAATCTACAATTAATTTTTTGGTGACACTTTGCCTTTTTTTATTTTTAAAATTGATAGAAAATGCTGTATATGTAATTTTTTTCACAGTGTAATATTTTATTTGACAAAAATTGACATGAACATTTGATCAGCAAGAGATGAAAAAAGCATAGGTCAATATTTACATTTTTTAAAAAGTATACGATATAAAAGATACATTATCATTAACCTCACTCAAAACACTCCCTGTTGCTTCAAACACGCTCATCTCGACATTCTTGACAATGTGTCATTTACTGTAATAAGTTTAAAAAATTTAAATATTAACCATATCTTGTCAATATACCCTGTATTGTGAGAGGAGAGCCAAGGGAACTAGCACATACTAAGGGAAAAACTCAGCATTGAAGTTGCCTAGTTTTTCCATTTTATTGAGGTATAATAGAAATAAAAATTCTATAAAGTTAAAACATATGATGTGTTGTGGCATATATATAATATATGGAACTGACTGATTACCACAGTCTACATATTCTAGCCATCATCTCACATATTATTTTTATTCTACCATTTTTTAAATTTTTTTTTTTTTTTTGCAGTACCAGGGATTGAACTCAGGACCCTGTGCCTGCCAGGCAAGCACTTATTCTACTGAGCTATCTCCCCAGCCCTTCTTTGCCGTTTTTAAAATTCAATTTAGATGCTTTTTGTTTACTATTTAGAGCATCATCACCATGGTGATATGTATCTCCCTTAAAACACTGCAAACACATATACCAGGAGTGCACCTTTTTAATCTTTTTTTTTTTTTTTTTTTTTTGGCTGGTTCAGGCTGCCTTAAGGGAGGGTCTGGTGGTGCAGCATGTGGTGCTGAGGACTGAACCACGGTCCCCTGCATAACATGGGAGCAGGGTCTTTTTTTCTTTCAGCACCAAGATTCAAACTCAGGACCTTGAGCTTGCCAGACGCAGGTACTTAAGCCACTGAGCTATATCCCCAGGGCTAATCTTCACTAGTTATTGTGAGATTGCTGTGTAAGTTAATGAACACATTGTAAGTACATTGTTTGCAGGAAGAAAAAATCTGAGTTCTATAGCTCAAAAAAGCCTGCTGAATTTATGTTGAAGCATCGTTAACACAGTATAAAGATGAAAAGACAACAGGAATAACTTCATACTTCATGTCTTCCTGGCAACAGACCCCTTCCTTCACTGGGAAAACCTTACTCCTCTTTCTTCTTCTTCCTCCACTTCTCACTATTGTCACCTTGTAATATTCAGAGTGTGCTTGGATTATAGATCTGTAGAGACGTGCTTTCAATGATTAGCCCACATACCTGTTACTTATACTTAAAAGATGCAGTGGAGTTTTAAAATGCTTTTGTAGTATAATATTATTGGGCCAGGGAGATGGCTCAGTGGAATAAGCACTTCCCTGGCAAGAACAAGGGCCTGATTTCAATCCCGGTTCCACAAAATAAATAAATAAATATTGTTAAAAGCAAAGATTGACTCTTGTTTTATTTTGACATGGCATATCCTGATATATAGATATAGATATAGATATAGATATAGATATATAGATATATAGCTATATATAGATATCTATATATAGATATATCTATATATAGATATCTATATATAGATATAGATAGCCAGGTATTGAACTGACAAGGTAGGGCACAGGGCACTGAGTTCAATCCCTGGTTCCACCAAAAAAAGATAAAAAATAAATAAATACATACATACATACATACATAAAATTAAAAAAATCTTATTCAAACTGCTAGCTGGTCTGTAGATGTTGTGCAGGAAGTGAAAGTAAAGACTGCAAGATTCTACTACTGGCATTAAGTCATGTTGGCTCTTTTTTTGGTGGGGAGGGAAAAACCGAGGATTGAACTCAGGTCCTTGAGCTTGCCAGGGAAGCGCTTATTCTACTGAGCCATCTCCCTGGCCCCTAATTCAGTTATATTTCAGTAGGGTAGGGATAGAATGGGGAGAAGGAACTTAAAACAATTCCTTCCCTTGATAGTGAAGCCCTTTAAGAGGACTCAGCTTTGGTTGTTCCCAGGACTGAGCTATGAGGCTCCTAACATACATCTTAGTCCTCAAGTTGCCAGAAGAAAATCTGAGTGTTTAAACTGGGATGCCACAGCTCAGTGGAGCATATGTTTTTTTCTGTGGGTTGGAAAAGAAATGACAGAATCAGAATTTCTGCCTCCTTTTCAACTTGGTTCTAATGTGTCTCCAAGGGCCGGGAGATTTTACCTGTGGCCTCTGCAATATAAAGCAGAAGGATTACTATGCGTCCAAGCTGCATAAGGAGACCCTGAACCAAATACATTAAAAAATAATAATAAAAAATTTCAGGTGAAGTCTTTGTTGGTATCTTCTGATTGAGACCTATGGCTTTCTGTGCTACTCGGGACTGAACGCAGGCTTCACAAATGCCAGGGAATGCACTCTCCAACTGAGCTACATCCATAGCCAGTTCTTCTTTGAGACAGACTCTTGTTAAAGTGCTCCAGAGTTGAAGGCTGGCCAGCTCCTGCCTGCATCTCCCCTCCTCGAGTAGCTGGGGTGTTAGGCATGTACCACCTGGCCAAGCTAAGACCTGTTAAAGGACTTTAGGGCACCTAAGAAGCTCTGAGAACTTACCTCTTTATTTAAAAATTTGTAATACCAATAATAGGTCTGGCATTATGTGAGAAATCATGGGAATGCCAGGTGTGGAGGTATTACCCCAGGAATGCCAGGAAGAAAACCCTAAATTCGAGGTCTCCTAGGCGACATAATGAGTCCACGGCCATCCTGGACTGCATAGCAAGACCCTATCTCAAGAAAAAAAAAAAAGAAATAAAAATCACCAGGAACAAATTTAAATCATTTAAGCATAAAAAGATTATATGTTGCCTACTTAGCAAGATGAAAAGGAATATACACATAGGAGATGAGTTCACCTTTTTTTTTTTTTTCTTTTTAAGACAGCGTCTACAGGGTCTCACTACATAGATCGGACTCGTAGTGATCCCTCTGTGTTCAGCCTCCCAAGTGCTGGGATTACAGGCACACATCACCACGCCCAGTCTCAATCTCTGTCTCAGTGTGCACCAGGGATCAAACCCTGACCGCTGTGCTCTGCCTAAACAGGCACTTTAGTCTGCTGAGCTATCAGGTCCTAAATGTCCTAAATGGAGAAGGATTTTTTTGGCTAGTTCAGGCTGCCTTAAGGGCGGCAGTCTTGTGGAGCTAGGGATCGAACCACAGTCCCCTGCACCTGATTGTGTTTGCCCCAGCGGCATTTTAAACAGCTGAGCTACTGGTGGCAAGC